AAGTGGAGTGAGCCCTAGCCGGTTTGGCTCAGTGGATAGAGCGTCGGCTTGCGGACTGAGGGGTCCCAGGTTCGATTCTGGTCAAGGGCATGTACCTTGGTTGCGGGCACATTCCCAGTAGGGGGTGTGCAGGAAGCAGCTGATAGATGTTTCTCTCTCATTGATGTTTCTAACTCTCTACCCCTCTTCCTTCCTCTCTGTAAAAAATTAATAAAGTATATATTTAAAAGTGGAGTGAGCACACATGTTCTGATCTTCGTGCTAAACTGGTAAAACTGGTAGTTTCGAAATACCATCCCCAAATACTGATAAGAAATTTGATTTTTAAAAACAACTCCACTTCATGCATTTTTGTAAGAGGCAATACTATTTGAAAACAGGTTTTAACTTATGTTTGTGCAAATTTTAAGAGGGACTGAGTTCTGAGCACCTCAAAATTGTTTGGTCCAGCACAGTAACACTTACTGAATATTGAATAGATGCCAGATACTGTCCTGGGAGTGGTCTTCATAAATAGATTAGGAACCTCCAAAGATCTATTTCCATTACATAATGTAAATTTTATTCACAGAATATCTAAGTTTACTACAGGTAATATGCTTCTTGAACTTTCCTCCCACAATACTTTGTATCGCATCCTATACCTCTCCTCTGTAGCAGGCTTCACATTTATAAAAATTTTGTATATAATTATTACACTTTTGTTATACAATTTCCAAGAGGCAATCCATCGTATTCATTACTATGTGCCCAAATCTTAATAATAGCTGACCCTTAGCAAGCATTTAGTCAATTTTTGTTGTATGAAGAACTTTCTGAAATCATCACTAATGGCCACTAGTCAATGCATACCTCCTAAGATCTGAGGGCATAGTCCAAAACTGTCTCTGACAATTGGAAAATATTTTTGAAGGCATCTGTTTTATTTCCTTTTAAAACTCATTTGACTTTTTAATTCTCATCCATTATGTATGATTTTTAATATGAGCTGTTTTCAGGAAAAATTGATACATTGGACATATGCATCATAGTTTTAAGAATACAGCTGTTGTGTGTGAGTGTATATAGTGTATGGGCTTTGGAATTAGGGACTTGTTCAAATTCTTGCCTTGATTTTTAGCAAATAGTTAAGTCAGCATTTGAAAAATAGGTTTAAGAATGCTTTCCTTGACAAAACCGGTTTGGCTCAGTGGATAGAGCGTTGGCCAGCGGACTGAAAGGTCCCAGGTTGATTCCAGTCAAGGGCATGTACCTGGGTTGCGGGCACATCCCCAGTGGGAGATGTGCAGGAGGTGACTGATCGATGTTTCTAACTCTCTATATCTCTCCCTGCCTCTCTGTAAAAAATCAATAAAATATATTTTTAAAAAAAGAATGCTTTCCTTGAAGGTTTTTGTTTGTTGTTGCTGTTTTTAAGAGAATAAAATGAAATTGTACTTAAAATAGTTGGCCTGCATAATATATACTCAAGTACTGGCTTCCTTTCCCCCTCTTACTAGAAAACTTCTAGTTTCCCTTTTAAGAATCTCAACTTACATATGATTCTTTCCATTAAGTATTAGATGGTCAATAACTGTCAACTAAGAACGGAAAGATCTCATTCTTTGAGCCAGCATTGTGTCTGTTCATCTGCAGAACAAAATTCTTTTATTGAACATAGTTAACACCTTATAGATGAAGTTTCTAGTCAATATTTTTAACCAGTGCCAACAAAGTCCACAGAGAAACATTAAATTGAATTAATTTTTTACTACTACTTATTTGACACAAGTTTACTTGTCTTAGACAAGTGAGAATTTATAAAATCTGTGCTTTATTGCATGGATAGGAAGTAGAAATGCAGTTTCTTGGAAATTAGCGATGGTGCTCTCTGGAATACTTGAAGATTCTCAGTGACTATTGCAAGGAATCACAAAGGAGATCTTTGGTCCAAAGAAGACATCTCTGGGGAAAAAAAAAGTTAAATCTAGCTATAAGCTAAGGTATATATTAGTTTTCTGGGTTAAAAAGGAACAGTGATTTGCGGGATTTCAGATATGATTATTTGTTTTAGGTGAATAAAGTAGAAAAAGAATGAGTGGGAGGACTTGCCACAGGAACAACAAAGACCAAGAAGGTAATTAATTCTTTTACTTTCCCTCCATTTTCCATTGATAATATGCTATCATTTCTTTACCAAAAAAAAAAAAAAAAAAAAAAGGAAAGATTAGGTGATTTCAAAACCTTATAATCATGCTAAAAACATTCATTCCTCTGCTATGAGTGGAATGGACCATGAACTTTAAATCTACAGGTAAAACACATTCAAATTTTCCAATAAAGTCAATAAATAAATTTCTAGCTACTCTACTCTTGTTGGGAAGATCATATAAGCTAATGTATAAAAATGCATGGGATAATAAAAAATTGTATATAAGTGTAAGGTAGTATGATTACGGTTTATTAGAAATATACTTAGTATATAATGTACAATATGATAACTATTGTTAGCACTGCTATAGAGTATATTTGAAATTTGCTAAGAGAGTAAATCTGAAAGTTTTCATTACAAGGAAAAATAAATTTGGGGGGTAACTATATGAGGTAATAGATGTTAACTATAAATTATTATGGTAGTCATTTTTTAATATGTGTTGGTTGACTCATTTGCCATATACCTTAAACTTAAAAAGTGCTCTATGTCAATTATATTTCAATAAAAAGTGAAAAAAATAGGATGACAAATTAAACTATGATTACAGGGTGGGAAAAGGGAACTATACTTAGCAAGGTAAGTTTGTTGCCACTAGGAAAAGGATAATCCAAAATCAAATAGAAATTACTTTTGTATATCTATACTTCTATTCTTATCCATTAACACAAAATTATATCATGAAATAAATACAAACACATTTCTGTAAATTGGATTCAAGTCTTACAATTACAAAAAAAGCAAAGATGGTATTTTAATATTACTGGTAGATGATATTTCATTTACATGGTCTGGGAAAAATTAAATTATTTTGTGGAATCAGTTAACTCAAGTCCTTGATATCATCATTGAATACAGTGATTCTGAAACTTCATCATACATCAGAATCACCTAGGAAGCGTGTTAAGCCATAATTGCTATGCCTCACCTCCAGTGTTGCATGATATAGTAGGTCTGATCTAGGGCCCAAGAATGTTTGTGCACTTTTTTTTTAACGAATGTTCCTTTCTTTTCTTTTTCTTAGTGCATTTTTATTGATTTCAGATAGGAAGGGAGAGGGAGAAAGGGATAGAAACATCAATGATGAGAGAAAATCATTGATTGGCTGCCTCCTGCATACTCCCTACTGGGGATTTAGCCTGCAAAATCCCTGGGCTCATGCCCTGACTGGGAATCAAACCGTGACCTCCTGGTTCAGAAGTTGATGCGCAACCACTGGCCCACACCAGCCAGGCTGGAGATGCACTTTGAACAAGAACACTGGTGATATTGAAGCTGCTCTTCTGAGAACCACACATTAAGAACCACTGGCTTGGTAGAAAAAAATGAAAAATATCTGGTCCAAATCAGAAGACCTGAGTTCTAGTGCCAGTGCTGATATGAACTAGTCACATAGGATGGTGCTGGTCATTTTATCTCGCTGTACCTTTTCCTTGATCAGATGGTTACATCTGCCTCTTCTGCCTTACAGGTTTCTTGGAAAAATGCAAATATGATGACATGCTAAAAGTAATTTGAAAAAGCCAATTTAGGTATGAAATAGCCAATATCGTAGTGTTTGAAAGATTTCTCAGTAACCAAGGGTTTAAAATCAAGAGTTGGAAATATTTATTGACTTATCTACTATTATATTATACTTAAAATACATCTGCTTTCCAAGTCAGCGGGAAACTTTATTTAGTTTATTTCTGGTTAACTCATACACAGAGCTGGAAATTTTTTCTTTGACCGTCACCAAACTTTTTGATCCAGTTAATTACTTGAGGTGGGCCAGGTGGGAGCTGAAGAGGTGGGCCGGGTGGGAGCTGAAGCCTCACTTGTATGGTCAGCTGTAATCCACTGCTTGGAACTCTTCATCCAACCTAAGAATTCCAGTTCAGCATAACATCCCAGTTATCTTCAATAACACAGAATTTCTGAGGATATTAGAAAAATATTTGCAAGAAGTAATCCTTGCAGTTTCCTTCTCAGAGACTGAGTACCAATGTGAAAGTCGTTAGTCTTAGCAATAGACAGGGAGCACATTTGCTTGCAGTTGCTGATACTTACAAAGCACATATACACCTTTACCTAGCAGCCCTCGTAGAAGATGCGTTGCAGAAGTAGGAAGTCTCAGTGTTTGATAAGGTAACCATATTTGTTAACAGGATAGATGATATGGCCAAGAGAGAGTCATGATAACTATTTACAGGCAGTCAAGTCTCTTTATCCTCATTCACAAGGGTTGGTTATGCTCTATCATAACCAGCAGTTAACTAGTAATTTCCACTCTGTCACAGCCCCATCACTTGCCATTATTCCTTCCGCCTTACCAACTATTCTTCATGATCTTGCTAAGAATAACTCTCAAATGTGCCTGGAATTGTTTTCTGTATCAAAATGCTTCTTCTTCCCTGAAATTGACTTAGCTGCTGGCTGTCAGCAACGGTTTCACAGGATGAGGAGAGAAGTGGCAAACACAGGCCAGTTCAGGAAAATCAGAGAAGATCTACTAGTACTTGCTGCATTCTGAACAGAGTACATATGTGGTTATCTGAGGAAACATGCAGTTTGGCTGCCGGTCACACTCCTCAAGGGAGTTACTCGTTCTATACGAAGAGCTTCTGGAGAATGGCGCCAAAGAGAGAAATGGTGATACCAAGACTTTAAATATGTGCAGTTAGAGTTCTCAGGTCATAGGCTTGAGTTTGATCCTGATCTCAACAATATCGTTACAAAGCAATTATTGAAGACAGGAACTGGTGGATCTATGAGTACAATGCAGAAGCTTATAGCATGAAGCATAACAAAAAGATGACTCAACTTTTTAAAAATAGGTAAGTTGTACTCACTTCCGCTCAAATGATTCCTTTATTTTCGGAGTCATACTGTATTTTTTGGCTTTCATTGTTAACACTAGAAATACTGAAATTTAGTACATACCTATATTGCCCAAAAGCAGTCAAAAGGACTGCATTGTGAAAGAATAATATCGGAGCACTCTTCACTTATGTTCCTTAGCTTTTCCAATAACTCACTTCTATTCGACATTTCTTTCATGAATTTAGGGCGCAAAAGAAATACAATAAACAACTTATTAGAACAAGCATCACTGCATAAAGATTCGAATAACAAGTACTAGTTTAGCTTATTGAGCAACTGCAACTTATCAAGTATTGACAATTTATCATGTACTTGTATGTTATCATGTGATGGTAATCGAAAAAAAATGAAAACTGTTATTTCAATACAGAGCCGACCTGGTCATATAAGAAATTTACTCAATTCAATAATAAGAGTCATAATTCCCCCCCCCCCCCCCAAGCAGTCAAAATGACTGCTTTTGGGCAATATAGGTATAACACATATATATATACCGGAAATGAAGGAGGGGGAGGTAACTACAATTATTAATAAACGCATTCATATGTTGTAAAAAAAGTCACAAAATTCTAAGACATTGTGTCCTTATATATATAATTGTTTTTCTAATTGAAATTAAAAAACAGTCAAAATGACTTCCTTGGGCAATCTAGTGTTAAGGGCTAAATTGTTCTTGACTATTTTGAATGCGGTGCTCTGTAAGTGAAAAAATGTCATAGCCTTAAAAAAACAACCAGCATACACATTTTCAAGAGTGTGTGTGTGAACTTAGGTTTTCATTTCTCTTGGGTAGATGCCTAGGAGTGGAATCTCCTAGTGGGTAAATGTATATTTAAATTTTGAGAAACTACCAAACTGTTTTCTACAGTAACTATCATTTTACCTTACCACTAGAGATGTATGTGTTCCAATTTTACCACATCTTCAATAATATTTGCTTTTTTCTTTTTTATTTTTTTATTTTTATTTTTTTGCTTTTTTCTTTTTGATTATAGCCATCCTAGTGGGTACGAAGTGGTATCTCATTGCTTATTATGGTTTTTAAATGAGCATTTCCCTAATGATTAGTGATGTTGCATGAATTTTCATATGCTTAGTAGCCATTAGTCATTTGTTTTTTTTAGCATAGACTAATTTAAGACTTGTATCCTATGAATAGGATAAATTTTTGCACATGCACATATCTAAATATAAATATTTGCCCACCCCAAAGTATAGTATGCTAGGCATATTACAACTTAATACAAATTATTACTTCTATCACTTTCTGAACAATTAAAGACCCTTATAACAATTTAACTCCACTTATCCCTCTTATCTTTTGTACTATTGTTATATATTCCATTTTCACATTATAAAAACCTACAGGACATTATTATTATTGCTGTTTTAAACAAAATACTCTTAAATTGTACATACTTACCCTGTGTTCTTTTCCTCTTTCTTAGGATTTAGGACCATTTTCATTAAGCAATAACTTCTCTCAGCTTTTGTTTTTCTGAAAACATCTGTAATTTGCCTTAATTCTTGAGAGCTTTTCCCCTGGATATAGACCTTGAGGTTAGCATTTCTTTTCTTCAGTAATTTAAAGATGTCATTCTAGCCAAACTGGTTTGGCTCAGTGGATAGAGCATAGGCCTGCGAACTGAAGGGTCCCAGGTTCGATTCCGGTTAAGGGCATGTACCTTGGTTGTGGGCACGTCCCCAGTGGGGGGTGTGCAAGAGGCAGCTGATCGATGCTTCTCTCTCATCGATGTTTCTAACTCTCTATCCCCCTCCCTTCCTCTCTGTAAAAAATCAATAAAATATATAAAAAAAATAAAAATAAAAACAAAGATGTCATTCTATGGTCTTCTTGATTTCCTAGTTTTGTTGAACAGTTAGAATTCAGACTTAATGTTGCTTTTAAAGTTTACTATGTCTTTTCCCTCTGGTTCCTAAGATTTTGTCTTTAGTTTTCAATTTTTTTTATTATGACACACTCCAGATAATCTTTTCTACTAGAGCAGATTTGATCTTTCCCTTGTTAGGCAGAATCAACCCCTCTAGAAGGTAGAAGGATAAGGGGATGATTATCTCAAAACAGTGAGAGATTGAGCTGTATGTATCCAGGCTGGGTTATAAAGTTTTAGTAAGATCCAGTTCACCTCTGGCTCATTCCTGTTCCTCAGACATTGTCACATGGGTTTTTTGTTTTTACTTTCCATTTTTTAAAATTATTGATAGTATTACAGATGTCCCCCATTCTACCCTCCCTCCCCTTTCACCCAGCCTCCCTGCTTCCCCACTCCACCCAGCCCCTGCCCAACCCCAGGCCTTCACCATACTGTTGACTGCATGTCACACTGGCTTTTTTTTTTTTTTTTTTTTTTTTAACACTTTTATTTATTTCAGAGAGGAAAGGAGATAGAAACATCAATGATGAGAGAGAATCATCGATTGGCTGCCTCCTGCATATCCCCTGTTGGGGATCAAGCCCACAACCTGGGCATGTGTCCTTGACCAGATCGAACCTGGGACCCTTCAGTCCACAAGCCAACACTCTATCCATTGAGCCAAACCAGCTAGGGCTGTCACGTTGGCTTTGATTGAGGTCTTGGCAATCTCTGTCACTTTACCCCTGAGAAAATTCGTTCTGGTCTTTGGGGGTTTGAAGCTTGACTCTCCACATTTCTATCTACACAGCTTCAAAATACAGCAAATGTTTTCAGGAAGAGACCAATGATGTGTTTATGGCAGACCCTCTCAGTCCAGCCAGACTTTTGTCTACAAAGTTCAATGAAACCCTAGATTTCACTTTGTCTTTTAGAGGCTTCTGACACAATTCTCTAGCCTCTCATACCACCTGAGAATTCAGCCTATCTGTGTGGAAAATAGATCATTACATACATTTATGTGTCCTCTAGTTTCCAACTGATTGTGTTAACCCCACATAATTGCTAAAAACTTAGTAGATTCTCTTTCCCTTTAAACATCCTTATACTTGGGCCTAGTCAGATTGATTCTTGTACCTAAAATGTACAAATTGTTCCCCCAGATCATCAACATACCCATGAAGTGCTCTTCCCTGTCTGGAATTTTAGTTTGGATTATTTTCGGATTGCTTCAATATAACTCCAATGGAAAAAAACCAAGATGGCAGCATAGGTTAACGCCAGAGATTGCTGCCTCGAACAACCACTTCAAAAAACAACGAAAAGACGAACGGACATCATCCAGAACCACAGGAAGGCTGGCTGAGTGGAAATTCTACAACTAGGAGGAAAGAGAATATCATACCCAGACTCAGAGGAGGCGCAGTGCTGAAGTGAAATACTAAGGTGCGGAGTGCGCGCGGAGCGGGCTGGAGGCGGAGGGCGCGGTTGTTGTTTTCAATCGGGAGGGAGTTTCAGACTCTGAGCTCCAGATCCGGGCAGTCTCTAGGGACCCAGACTCAAACGGGAGAAGTGGGACTGTCTGACTTCAGTCGGAACTCGAAGGCAGCTTTCTCTCTGAGGTTTGCAGCGGTTGCTGGGACTCTGTAAGGCAGAGCCCCTAGGGATGGAACTGAGAGCAGCCATAACTGCTTGCTCCGGCCCGCCCTGTAGATCCCCGGGGACCCGCCCCGCCCAAGCCCTGCGCAGAGCCATTTGCCGGATAGCCTCAGGCAAACGCTAGATTAGCACCGCCCTAGAGATCCAGCACAGAAGCTCTCCCACTGCAGACACAGCGGACTCTCATAGCCAGTTGGCCTGGAGGTCAAATCACCCCCGGTATTGCCGACAACAATCAAGGCTTAACTACAACAAGACTGCGCACAAAGACCACTAACTAGGGGGTGCACCAAGAAAGCATAAAAAATGCGGAGACAAAGAAACAGGACAAAACTGTCAATGGAGGATATTGAGTTCAGAACCACACTTTTAAGGTCTCTTAAGAACTGTCTAGAAGCCGCCGATAAATGTAGTGAGATCCTCAAGAAATCTAATGAGACCCTCGATGTTATGATAAAGAACCAACAGAAATTAAGCATACACGGACTGAAATAACGAATACTATACAGACTCCCAACAGCAGACCAGAGGAGCGCAAGAATCAAGGCAAAGATGTGAAATGCGAAGAAGCAAAAAACACCCAACCGGAAAAGCAAAATGAAAAAAGAACCCAAAAATACGAAGATAGTGTAAGGAGCCTCTGGGACACCTTCAAGCGTACCAACATCAGAATTATAGGGGTGCCAGAAGATGAGAGACAGCAAGATATTGAAAACCTATTTGAAGAAATAATGACAGAAAACTTCCCCCACCTGGTGAAAGAAATAGACTTACAGGTCCAGGAAGCGCAGAGAACCCCAAACAAAAGGAATCCAAAGAGGACCACACCAAGACACATCATAATTAAAATGCCAAGAGCAAAAGACAAAGAGAGAATCTTAAAAGCAGCAGAGAAAGAAACTCAGCTACCTACAAGGGAATACCCATATGACTGTCAGCTGATTTCTCAACAGAAACTTTGCAGGCCAGAAGGGAATGGCAAGAAATATTCAAAGTGATGAATACCAAGAACCTACAACCAAGATTACTTTATCCAGCAAAGCTATCATTCAGAACTGAAGGTCAGATAAAGAGCTTCACAGATAAGGAAAAGCTAAAGGAGTTCACCACCACCAAACCAGGATTATATGAAATGCTGAAAGGTATCCTTTAAGAAGAGGAAGAAGAAGAAAATGGTAAAGATACAAATTATGAACAACAAACATGCATCTATCAACAAGTGAATCTAAGAATCAAGTGAATAAATAATCTGGTGATCATAATAGAATCAGGGACATAGAAAGGGAATGGACTGACTATTCTTGGGGGGGAAAGGGGTGTGGGAGATGCGGGAAGAGACTGGACAAAAATCATGCACCTATGGATGAGGACAGTGGGTGGGGAGTGAGGGCGGAGGGTGGGGCGGGAACTGGGAGGAGGGGAGTTATGGGGGGGAAAAAGAGGAACAAATGTAATAATCTGAACAATAAAGATTTAATTAAAAAAAAAGAAAAAAAATAACTCCAATGTATTTAAAAACATGGATTTTGCAATCTGACCACCCCCCTCTGCCCCCTCCCTCCCCGCCTGCCCCAAATAACTTCTTTGGTTGACATTTAGTTCATAATGATTAAAAAAAAAATAGTTAACTTGTTGTGTGTTTTTTAAATATATTTTTATTGATTTCAGAGATGAAGGGAGAGAGAGATAGATATATCAGTGATGAGAGAATCATTGATCGGCTGCCTCCTGCACGTCCCACACTGGGGATTGAGCCCACAACCCAGGCATGTGCCCTGACTGGGAATCAAACCGTGACCTCCTGATTCATAGGTTGATGCTCAACCACTGAACCACGCTGGCCAGGCAGTTAACGTTTTTTGAAGAAAAACAAAATTACATTGCTTACCTTTTTTTTTCATTGAAAATGCTACCAGTGGGATGAGAGGTTTTTTATTTTTTTTAACCTAGAATTTTCATTTCATTTATTCAAAAATACATTATTTAACTATATCACTAAGTTGAAATTCTAAAGTGAATATGCAGTTAGCCCTCAAGACCAGGGATCTCCCCCTAAGTGGATGTGCCTGTTTGATAATTCTTCAGTGTGCTTATCCTACTCCCCTCACTGTCTTTGAAACAACTTGAAAATATTAAGATTCATCTTTGAGAAGCTATTATATGTGCAGAGTAATGGTTTCAGTTTTTTATATTAACTATGCAACTGGAGAGAACAATATTTATGTGCAACTAATCTTACGTAGAGTATACTACATTTTGGCTAACTATATGAGTTAATAAATAATTATTGAGAATTTATCTACTGCTCTGTGGTGGTGGTGGGGGGTTACCAAATATATATATATATAACTAGTGGCCCGGTGCACAATTCATGCATATTAAAAGGGAATTAATTATTTGCCCTTTCTCTATAATAGAAGTATCAGAGATGAAAGAAAATTAGTAAAATGCATATGAAAATCTCCCTCCTGTCAGAGTCTGGGGCATGCCGCGAGACCCAGAGTCAAGTCCCCGCCGACCTACGCGTGCCTTGAAATCTTGCAATACCCACACCTGGCCGGCCCCACCCCCATCAAGCTCCGTAGGGCGAGGGGCACAGCCTCAGGTCCCCCATCAAGACCCACCGGATAGGGGGGGTCACAGCCTCAGGTCCCCTGTCAAGCCCTGCTGGGCGGGGGTGCGCAGCCTCAGGTCCCCTGGCCTGGGCACAAGGGCGTGACGACCATTTGTATATTAGCTCTTTATTATATAGGATATTCTCTTTCACTCAGGATTTTGCTATCTGGTTTTATTATCAAATTATGAAAAGTTCAAATTCTTAATGTAACTGACTGAATAAATGATAGGAATTTCAATAGCTAGCAAAACCCAGATCATTTATTTCTACATAATCCTGCCAGATTGACACTGCTATGGATGAATTTCAGTTTACAGAATAGCTATTTATACTTACAGGATAGGGGACTTACTTTGGAAACAGCTTCAAGCCTAATTCATAATTATTTTGTTGCTAAATATTTATGTTATAATTTGTGAGATGCTGAACTCTGGCAAAGTTTGGCAAATAAAGTGCTATATTGGTATCATTTAGGAAGGGGAAAACTCTGGTAAGATCATTTTACTAGAAGACTAAGATAACAGATAATATTGTATATGTAAAGTTTGGTTATATAGTTTATTACATGTGGATAGTTATAAACTTTTATGTAATCAAATACTGTTGTGAAGTAGCAGGGTTCACAACTAATTGGTGTTCATAACCAAAGAATTTCCTAGAACCCATGTTATCTTTTAAAATTATAATCTCTTGACCACCTAATTATTACAAAAGTTAAAGTATATATTTCCCCACATTATGATTACATATTCACAGAATTATAGAATCATAAATTTAAAAGTTGAATGGCCCTAGATTCCCCAAAATGTCATTTTATAATTTCTCAATCAAAAGCCTAGGAATATTAAGTATACTATTCAAAATCACAAGCCCTTGCTAGGTTTTGATTTATACTTTTTTTAAAAAATGAAGAGCAATCACTTTCCTCTTTATCATCTTTAGAAAGATGCATCATTTTAATAAAAATAAACTTCGAAAGTTATTTTAGAATATATGAAATTGACGTGTTCCTGAAAAGAAATGGGTCTAAAGTTGAGTTTTAGAAATACCATCTTATTTTCCCATTTTGAACCATAACAAGATTCAAAACACAATGAGAAACACCTTTAGTATTACCTCTTCATAGGAATTTCAGTTCTCTGCTTGTCATAACAGTATGCCAGGTAATTCATAATAGTGAACTAGGCTTCTTGTGTATTTAATCCATCTTTTCAGAACTACATTTGGGATTAGATTTTTGTTTGTTTGGTGCTACCAGATTCTGTATATAATTTTTATTTTTAAAAAGGGTTGCTCTATAACCAACAACTGTCTATATCCCACTTAGAACTTACTTCCCTTTTCACTTCACTGTGCATCTCAATGTTATTTCTCGGTCAGGAAGTACACCGTGAGAGTGAAGTCTTGGCATCAACGGTAAAAGTAGATTAAATATAGAAATGTTTTCCTGTTCTCTGCTGTGATGGAGTCAAGAATGAATGTAAAAGGGCTGGGTTGGCCTCACCTGCAGGCTGTACGGGAAGGATCTAACCCAGGCCTTTCTCTTTAGCTTGTCGATGGCCACCTTCTCGCTGTGTCTTTTCACATAACCTTACCTCTATGGCTGTATCTGTGCTCAATTCTTCCCTATTTATAAGGACACCAGTGATATTAGATGAGGGACCCACCCAGCTTCAGTATGACCTCATCTTAATTCATTACATCTGCCATGAACTTATTCTCCAAGAGGGCCAGTTCCAAATGTGCTATAAAAGCACGCACCAATTCAAACGGACTAAAATGTAGTCACTAAATCATACTACATTAAGTAGCAATAAACAGATCACTAGTGCATTACATTTTTCAAATTTATTTTTTAATTCAGAAACAGTAAATGCATGCATCCTGTGCCACTAATAGGTGTTTCCCGGGAAAACACATGTTAAAGAACATGCTTTTTCTTTAGGAAACCTGGGCTAACCGTTGCTGGTTCCGAGGTTCTATTGAGTAGGGTTACTGATCACACACGAAGCTGGAGCAACGCAGGCCCAACAAACACCAGCCAGCAAGCTTGCAGAGAAAAACAAGACTATTTAAAATCTGCCCAAACCAACTGTCCGGGCAACATATGGGCCAATACGGGAAAAAAAAAAAAAAGAAGCGCCTTCAAAAAGAAACACAACACAGAAATGGCACACTGTCACACTCCTCCTGCCCTGGGAAAGGCCGCCTGGGCCCTCGAGGGCGCCAAGGTCAGGGGGTCTGGGGGCGCCGCTCGGGCCGGGACACGAGGTCAGCGGGGCGTGCAGGTCGGTAACGCGCAGCTGGACGCGGTTTGCTCAGTATGTGCAACTGGGGGTGGGGCATCATCCACGTTGCTTTTGTGGGACTCTCAAATGGGTCTTTGATATTAATAACTTTTTAAAAAACGATCACATTTGAGGGACGAGACAGGGAATAACAAACAAGGTGACAGCTGGGCCGGCCACAGGCGCGGAGGTCACCAGGACGCCGCGCCGCGCCCGCCGCCGGGCATCGCGACCGGGACAGCGGGGTGGGGCCTGGGGAGCGCCGCCCGCCTCCCCCCGCCCGCCCCCCCCCCCCCCCCCCCCGCCCCGGAATCCTCAGGCGCCCTTGTTTACCTCTGGGCATTTGACACCCGAGACAAAGGGGGAAGGGAGGGAGCGGCTTCCGAGGGAAAGTCCGCCGGCCGAAAGCGCCTTACTTTGTAGGTGGGTTTGCAACACCCCTCGGGAGGCGGGCGCAGCTGTCCTCCCGCGCCCTGGCCCAGGTGCCCCGCCAGCGCTCGTCTTCCCGGAGTTGCACTCCGACCTCAGCCACCACGGGCGGCGCTGGGCCACTAGTCCGCAGGGCGAGCGCCCCCGTCTGTCCCCAGTTACCCTTCGGCCGGGGCAGAGGCGCTCTGGCCCGGGAAAGCGGTCGGAGCCGGGGCAGGGCAGGCTGCTAGTTCCCTCAGCGGCCGCAAAGCGAGTCGCCGCCGCCAGCCCTCGGCAACAACCCCCAAGCTCGCGACTCGGTATTTTTAAATCTGGCGGGGCTTTCCCTTTCGGGCCAACCGCTCCCCCCAGTTTACTGCCCCAGCCAGTCAGCGTCAGGCCCGCCATTTTTCAAACCCGCTTCCCGCCGCCAATCAGGATCGAGCAGTGCATTCCTCTCCTGACCGGTTCTAACGGGTCTGGGAGTTAACGACCTGGGCGACCCACCGAACCTGCTAGGCTGGGGGCGAGGGGACGGGCCCGGCGAGATGGCGACCAATAGGAAACCTCCGCTGGGAAGGGGCGGGGCTTCGACGAGTTTGAATAATCACCAGGCCCAATCACAGAGGCGGGGTGTGGCCTGCGGTGCAGCTCGTCAAGTTGCGGTGGCGCGGAGAAGTCTGCAAAACAAGAGGCTGAGGATTGGCTTAGCGATAAACCAGTTCACGCCGGAGCCCAGCGAGGGAGCGTCTCGGTCGGACCCGGCCGCTCGGCGGGACTCTGAGGAAAACCTACCACCAGGCAAGAATCCCCTCTGCGCCCCTGGGTGTGCGGGCTGCCGTTCCCTCCCCTCAGCCTCCTAGCCGGCCCCGACGCTGTGGCTTTGGAGGGTTCTCCGCGACGCGCGGAGTCTCGGGTGCGGGCCGCCGAGGGCCGGGGGCTGTGGTGGGCGGGCGGGAAGCTCGTCCGCGCTCGGTTCCGGGAGTTTTTTTAAATGTCGGCCGCGAGACAACTTGGAGTGGGGCTCGCGATGTGCAAGTCGGAGGGCATTTCTGTCAGGAAAGGGGTTTCGAGGGCGCCGGCTGCGTTCCCTTCCTGCGCCTGGGCCCGGAGCGGGCGGCGGCGGCTGCGGCGTCTCCGGCCTCCGGGAGGGACGTAGTCGGTCGCGCGGAGACTCGGTTGGGGCGGCTTGGGTTGGGCCGCGGAGGACCGTGTACGCGGAAGCGGTGTCGCCGCGGCCCCGGGGCGGGTGGGCCGGCGGGGCCGTCGGGCTCGGGCGGCCGCTCTCGCGAGGCGGGACGCGGGCGGGCGGGCGGGCGCGGGTTTGGGCGGGAAGCCGAGCCCCGCCGGCGCCCACCCCCTGCTTTCGCCCGGCTAGGAGGACGCCGTCTGTCATCATGGGCAAAGGAGACCCCAACAAGCCGCGGGGCAAGATGTCCTCGTACGCCTTCTTCGTCCAGACCTGCCGGGAGGAGCACAAGAAGAAACACCCCGACTCTTCCGTCAATTTCTCCGAATTCTCCAAGAAATGTTCCGAGAAGTGGAAGGTGAGTCGGGAATGCAGACGCGAGCTAAGAGTTCTCAGGTGTGTTCGCGGGCCAGGACACTAGGCAGGCAATTGACTTGGGACTTTCAGCTCGCTACCCTGAGGACTCGAAGATTCTGTTGAGAGTTTTAGGCCGGTTACTTTAGGTTTTTGCTTAAGACCACTAAAGCAAAATGCTGTTACTTCGGAAAATGTGGCCGTTAAGATGGCCTTTTGGGGTGTATATAGCTTACAGTTTTGCTGTGTTTCTAACTGCTGTCGTCCTGCTCACAGACCATGTCTGCCAAGGAAAAGTCAAAGTTCGAAGACATGGCGAAGAGTGACAAAGCTCGCTATGACCGGGAGATGAAAAATTATGTTCCCCCCAAAGGTGACAAGAAAGGGAAGAAAAAAGATCCCAATGCTCCTAAAAGGCCTCCGTAAGTTTTTTGTTTTTGTTTCTTGAATCGCTCAAATTGCCCCTTGATTTTTCAGTTTATTAACTCGTTACTTCCTTTCAGATCTGCCTTCTTCCTGTTTTGCTCTGAACATCGCCCAAAGATCAAAAGTGAACACCCTGGTTTGTCCATTGGGGATACTGCAAAAAAATTGGGTGAAATGTGGTCTGAACAATCAGCCAAAGATAAGCAACCATATGAACAAAAAGCAGCTAAGCTAAAGGAGAAATATGAAAAGGTACACTTTTTAAAGCCAGGGTTGAAATTAGGTAGATATTTTCTAAAGTATGTTAGAAGTAGATATAAGTGGTAGAAAGTTGGGAAGTGTAGATAATCATGTATTAATAGCTGTCAGCTGTGCTTTGCACAACTTAGAACAAACTACTTGAGAAATCTTTCTTTTGACTGAAATCAGTGTTGTAGCACTGGTAGGTTCCTGCATAGAGACTCTTTTGTGGTTATATAGGCCTCTTAGTTTGAAAAAGTGGAGGGCGAAATGGGTTTTATGTAGGTAGATAAAAAATGTGAAGTTGAAGCGTGGGGGGGGGGGGGTAGACTAAGTGAGGTAAATGGATGTTAGTGAAAGTATTGACATTGATCTAATGCCACCCCATGGTTTGACATCATAAGCTTCCTAAAGCCTAGAGGGAACAAATGCTGTCAAAAAATAATTTTTTAGACAGTTGCCAGGGTTATTGGTCAATAATCTTAGATTGTTTACATGTAGTGGTTTTCAGTTGAGAAATGACACCGGATGTTGATTTTCTTCTCTTGACAATATTTCAGGATATTGCTGCATACCGTGCCAAGGGCAAAAGTGAAGTGGGAAAGAAGGGCCCTGGCAGGCCAACTGGCTCAAAGAAGAAAAACGAACCAGAAGATGAGGAGGAGGAGGAAGAAGAAGATGATGACGATGAAGAGGAGGATGAAGATGAAGAATAAAGGCTGTCCTGTAATGATGTGTGCGGAGTATGTGTGTGTGCTCTCAGGCAATTGTTTTGCTAAGAATGTGAATTCAAGTGCAGCTCAATATTAGCTTCAGTATAAAAACTGTACAGATTTTTGTATAGCTGATAAGATTCTTTGTAGAGAAAATACTTTTATAAAAAAAAAGCAGGTTGTAGCTTTTTGAGGGGCTACTACATACAGTTAGATTTTAAGGCTTCTGATGTTAAATGTTTCTAAATATTTAATGGTTTCTTTAATTTCTTGTGTATGGTAGCACAGCAAACTCGTAGGAATTAGTATCAATAGTAAATTTTGGGTTTTCTAGACTGTTGCATTTTGTTTTTTAAAAAAAAAATTTTGTAATAAAATTATGTATATTATTTCTGTTGTCTTTGTCTTAATATGCTAAATTAGCTTTCACTTTAAAAATACTTAGGGTCTGGAACCCTGTCAACTTTTTTGTATTTCTGCCTCATCGTTCTTACACACACCTGAGTTAGTATAGTGTTTGGTTAAAAGAAAGTCAGATATACCCGAATCATATCTACAAAGTGTTCTTTAAAAATCAGATCTGGAATTTAAAGAACTTTAAAATTGTATGCAGTTTATAAAATGTTTTTTTGTGGGGTTTTTGACATTTCTATTCTTTTATTAGCTAATTTGTCCACAACTCTGGGTTATTTTTTTAACAGTTTATCTTGAATAATATGAAGCAGAGGAACCAGTACAGTGAATCTATACCTATAAACAAATTTAGAAGCATTAGTAAAAGTTTTACATTTTCTGATCTTGAACTATTCAAGATAGAATACCTGGATGAATTTTGAGTTAAATCTTTTAGAAATTAGTGTGGTCTTAAGCTGTAGAATTCTGGGTAACCCAAGAAAGCAATTGATAATGAATATTGTGATCTAACAAATTTGACTAAATCTCACTAGGATTTATACAAGAAAAAGATTTTTGAGAAATGCTCATTTGAGGAAGCAGTTTATATTTGAATTTAGGTATTTTGAATAGTTACCAGGCTATTAGAGTTGACCGTCTGTTGGTTAAATATTAATAGTTTTATAGTTAAACCTGACAATCTTAGTTTCCTATCAGGTTTTAAAATAGAAGCCAAAATTCATATCCAACCATGGGAGCCTTGGTTGTCATGCCATATGTGGAATAAATATTTGGTAGGGATTTCATAAAATAGTAAAGTTTTAATTAGAAGTGAGACAGTATAATGACCAGAGCAAATGGACTCAAGTAAAATCAAATCTCTTTATAATTGCCCGATACTAATCCTAATGGTTACAGATTTAAATGTGGAATTTTGGTGATCATAGAATGAAATCTAATTTTCTATTTTAAATATTTTGTTAGGTGACAACACTAAAAAATTGCTAATACTGTATATTTTAGAGACATCCCTAGGTCTGGATCCCAGTTCTATCAAATAGCTGCATGAACTTTACCTCTGACCTTGCTTCTCCCCATTTGTAATTTGGGATTAATACCTACTTCACAGTGTTTTAAGGATTAAATGAGAATGTTATAACGGTTTTTTTTGTTTTTTTTTTAAACTAATACATAGAAATGTTTAGGAGTTTTTAAAATTGAACTACAGTAAAAGTCTTGTTTCCTTAATGATTTCTAAATCTATAATTAGGTCAATCAGTCAGACTTACCAGGTTCCTCGTTACCTTTTTTTGTTACCTTTTGAGCTTTTGTGCCTGCTTTCATTCTGTCTTATATAAAATATGTTTCCAAGCTAAGAATGACTTGATCAAGAGCTGCTCCAAAATAAGCTCAGGGTTTCAAATGAGTCATGTTTGGTATTTTGTAAGGATGGATCAAAATTTCAAATCCTAAAGATTAGATCAGTAAGGTTCCAAGATTAGGTGACTTCCAGGAGTTATATTGGAAAGTACTGAAATAGTAAAAAGAATGAGGTTCTATCCCAGACTAGTGTGTACTTGGGAGGTATGTTTATGAAGACCTCTTTTTCCCTTTTATTGAATAGGTAATATCTTAATGGTACAAAATGTGAAAGGGCAAATTCTCACTCTGCCATCTGCATGATGCAACTGGAAACGTGATTCATTGGACCACATGACTTTTTTCCAATGCTCGACTGTCCAATCCTTGTGTTCCTGTGCAAATTGGCGACACTTATCTTGGTAACTGCAGACAGCAAAGGTGTTCGAACAGGCTTTCGGCTTCCATATCCCATAGGATGCAGTGTATGGCTAATTTGCCTACAAACATCAGGTGGTCATACTAATCTCCCACATTTAAAGGCTGTTAAATTGCGTTGTTTACCCATATCTTCAGAAAAAAAAAATCACTTCTGTCGTGGTAAACAACCTGCTTCCCTATTTATAATGGTATGGCCCTAGTAACTTCAGCACGAAATTATAGCTAACTTGCCTACAAACGTCAGGTGGTCATAATAATCTGGCCACTCAGTGTATAGTCCACAGCAATGAATGTTAGCTTACCCATTTCCTCATCTCAGTAATGTAATAGTTCTCAAACTTAATCTTTGCTACTCTGACACATTAAAAATGGTTCCTATTAGGAATTTAGCTTATAATTGTTTAAGAGCCATTTGTGTTTCCT